AGGCACTGTGAAAGTAAAGTGTCTTGCCCAAGAATACCACACAATGTCCCCCAGCCAGGGCTCAAAACCAGACCACTCAATCCAGAGTCCAGCGTACTAACCATTAAGTTACCACACCTCCTTTCTTTGAACATCTGCAAGTTCATTATGTTACATGTACATGTATTATACAGTTATCTATCCTTCTCCACACATCACAGCACCCTGATACTAGGATAAAGTGTTGCCATCATAACAATATTTTTTAATACCTTTTCCCAGGTTGTTAGAGGCAGCTCTAGTGAGGTGGGGATTGCTCAATCTCTCTCTATCTATTGTACTCAGAGATACTGTATACTCTTCCCAAGGAATAGACGGAAGCTTAACTACCTTTTGACGAGATGGAAGATCTATATGTTCCTAGATGTAAAACAAAATGACAAGGCATCAGATTCCATGTAGCAAACCTTAAGCAGCCATATTTCTCAAAATTCAACAACTCGTGGTCAGCCCATTATAAAGATGTAACTGAGCAATTGTCATCACACAATGTGATATAAAATCAAGTTAAACATTTAAAACTGTGTTTACAACTTTCCCACTAAAGAATCTATAACCAAAACATAATTGTCAGTGCAAACTGCACATGTATCCTCAGGTTCCCAAATGTACCATTGATTTACCGGAACAGTAAACATAGGTCAAAACCATTTTTTTTAATCAGAAAACTTGCAACATCACATTCTACCCTGTTTTGTAGCTTCTCCACAAAACTAATAGGATCCTGAAGAGCTTTAGCTTGCTGTTGATAGAGAACGTCAAGGTCCTTTGAAATAAACCAAACACAAAAAGTTACGAATAAGCATGAGTATTGGTGTTACTAAAATATAGCCTGAGAAAGCCACTTTTACACATGCCTAGAAATAAGTTTTTATTAGTGATCTCAAAGGTTCTCATGTGAGGCACAGGGATGAGCTGTGTAAGACACGGCACTTTTATCACAGTGACTGCAAAATTCATCACAAATTTTTATTTAGAGGAACTGTGATAATCAGCCAGTTTAATTCATTACCAGGCAAAGCAACAATGTTAGCACTATACGTCATCCCAAACTGAGGCTTGCCAAGGCACCTCTAGGATGTGTCATTATACTAGTATGGGTAATCAAATGGTGACAAGTAGAGGAAGGAAATAATTTTGTGCATGTTTTGTCAAAATTCTTACCAATAATTTCCTGAGCCTTTAGGCAAGGTAAGTTATTTAAATTTTGACGACTTGCAGTGAAATCATTTTTTTAATTTCACAAGTATACTATTTGATAACCTTTTAATATCATGGGTTGCAAATTACTTACAATCATGGTTTTGACTTGTTTACCATTTTGAATTTTGCACCAAATATTGCCATGGCAATTTTGTAATTTCACATGTGAAATTTTATAAATAATTATTAACGCTGAAATTGTACACCAAAATGAAGGAGTAAAGAGTCACCACGATATTATTACAATAACATTGTATCGCTCGCCACTGAAATTTTGTTTTTAAGTGGGGAATTTTTTAACAACCAAAACTTGATGTTTGTTTCCCTTTGTCTCACACGTTACTTTTTCATGATCCAAAACAAAGGAAATCACATTGACAAGAAACATTTCAACCAGCAACCTACATCTGTACTAACCAGCTGCTGTGATGGGACCAAGAATTTTATCTACAACTCAAGAACAATTACATTTTGTGCTATGTATTACTACATATAAAAAATTACACTATCTGATCACCTTTACAGCCTGACTCCTCTGTGATTCCAAAACCAACAGGGTTTGCAGTAGCAAATGATAGCTAGAGCAATAACAAAACAGTAGTCTTCTAAGCAATGTCTCCTTTGAAACAAAAATCCTTGATACATCAATGGAGGCTGCCCTTTTTTGTAACTTTCATTACAGTTTATAATACCATGATACAAACTACTATTGCACTTACACTTAAGAATCAGAAAATATCTTGAATTCACTGTCTTTTGGAGAGTTATATCTATCATGGAACTGTGAGTGGGTGTTTTTTGAATATTTCGCAGAATAGATTTACCTTTATCAATGCATGCATGGTTGACAATTAACTGTTTAGTCAGAGTAACACCCATCTCTACAACATCACTTACTGTTTATTATCTTTCAGTGCCAAGTGATCAGATTCAAAGTAGAACCGATCGTAATGATCATCCTCAGCTTCATCATGGACGAGTACCTGATCATACCACATATTGACACCTTTGGCAGAAGATTCCTTTTCCAGCCCACTTACTTCCTTGTCTGCCCTTTCCTCAAATGTTTCTGTCCTTGCACTAGAGATCTTGATGCTAATTTGCTGAGAGCCTTGATCATCCAAAGCACTGTTTGATCCCACATCTACATCAGCTTCATCATCTTCCTCAGCTTTGTTTGTAACTGTTCTTATGACACTATCTCGATTCGAATTGTCAGATTTAGTAGGAAACAAGTCTGAAGCTCGATTATACAAGCAGTCATTTGATCCAACATCTAAATCAACTTCAACGTCCTCATCACTTATATTTGTTTCTGTTTTTATCTCAGTTTTCGTTACTCTATCTTTCGTGACTGTTGCTCCAAATGCAGCTGCTGTCGAGCAAAGCTTTAAGGATTGGTTTTCCTTGTCTACGGCTGGACTTGATTCATTTGTTTTCGTGTTTACCTTCATGAGTAACCTCAGTTCCACAAGAAATGAGTTTCAGTATCTCAACTCCTCGCGTAAATAATTAGCTTTCTGTGTAGTACTAACATTACTGTTATAGCCGAACACGTGCTGCAAAACTCACTGTTGTATAAACATTCTATCCACTAGAAGAAGCTTCGTGAACAAACCATGAAAACGCCAGTGTCAACGACGACAGCAATGAGCTTAATTCAAAAGCCTCTCAAATTTCGAGTACTATCTTCTCCATAGACAGGTTTTTATGACCATAGTTTGATTCTTGATCATTTAAAAGTTACATACATACTCTCAGCTACAAAATACACTTCTGCTAGGACAAATCGTCCGCCATCTTTGAACTGCGCCCACTGTAGCCCAGAGGTTTATTCTTTGGGAAACAATAGTGTCATTTAGAACTGATCATAGTGTAGCAAACTTTCTGATTATCCTTTCCAATACTAAAGGCAATGTACTTATATTTGGAAAATAGTCCAAAGAATATACGCTCGCTGATTGGTTAAAAATCATGTGTCTATTCAACAATTTTAGATTATTCGCTCCCACTTTCTATCGCGTGATAGTTCACGAGGGAGCAGCCCGAGTCAACTATCATGCATAGAAATCGAGAGCGAATAATCTAATTGTTTTAGTATAAATCTACCAGTCATTCAAAACTTTATCTAAATCCTCTTCACAGACACTTAATTAGAAAACGTAAAGGAGCGGCCGTCATTTTGTTGACCAGCGCACACGTGTTACGCTACTCACTATCTATCACAGAATAGATAGTGAGTAGCGAAGCCAATCAGAGAACGCTAGTAGATTTATACAATTAGATTATGAGCACGCCCTACGGGCGTATAATGACTCGCGCGCTTCACACGCGAGGATCGCGCTCACGGCGCTTCGCGCCTTCCGAAAACGTCCGAAAACGACTGTTTTGCAGTTTAGACTATTTTCTAAATATCAGTACATTGCCAGGCCAAAAATATCAGAAACATCATACATTATTTCAAAATGTTTAGAATTTTTTTGAGCAATCCTCACCACTCGAGTGCACTATTGACAAGAGATGAAGTGTAATAGAGTCAATCCCCCATATAGACCTTATTGCTAAGGTTATCCCTCTCAAGTTATTTTTAGGTATGGTATCGAGTATTGAGAGCGAAGAATCTAATTGTTTTAGTATAGATTTACTAGTCGTTAAAAAATTTGATCTAAATCCTCCTCAAAAACACTTCGAAAACACAAAGAAGCGGCCCCAGCGCACGCTCCTACACAACTCATTATCTACAACAGAATAGATAGTGGGTAGCATAGCCAATCAGAGAACGGCATTCGTGATAGAACGCTAGTAGATTTATACTAAAACTCAATCGAATAATAAGAATAATAAGAATAAGAATAAGAATAAACTAATATTTTAAGAGGAGGCCTCCAATCACCTGGAGATGGTTTTCAGGAGGTTCCTCTAAAAACTAAAAGTCTAAAATATACATTAAATGTCTAAAATACAGAAGTAATAAAAGTTAAAAACNCTCTTTGGTATAAGTTTTTTCAGCTCACTTGGCAGTGAGACCCAATCGGTTATTGCTTTATAATACGTTTTGTTTCTGCCCCATTCCGTTCTTGGCTTGCTAATTTTGGGCATGCAACCATTTCGGGTATTGTAATCGTGTTGTCGTAACGCGGTACATATTTTCTATTTCTTAAATATCATTTCTAGTTTTCGGGGAACATTTTCCTAAAAGCCTTGTGATACACGATGAGTTTCTTACTGATATTAACGTGTCTCACAACCGCTAGTTTCTACATAAAACCCAGAATTTGGTGATTATTGGACTTCGTTACAAAAAGACAAGTCTAATCACCGATGCATTTTTAGCGACGTTCATCAAAGCGAGACGCGCAGCTGGATTGGGGCATAAGTCATAACTCGCTTCCGCTTTTCCGGTTGAACGACCCAACCTTCACCACTCGTGACGAAGGGTTGAACAGGCCTTAAGTCAGACTTAAACTGACAACGACCCAATTTTGTATCCAGAGCCCTCGCCCCACTTGACCAAAGGCCATGGAAGTTCCCATACATGAAGTATCTGAAAGAAACTACCGCAACGCGTTGCCCCGCTTGTCGAGGATGACGCGGGCTCCATGGACAATATCATGGATAGTAAAGAGACTTTCTACTATCCATGGACAATATTGAGACAAAGCAGCTTCAGTTCACGATGAGCTCGAGAATCGAGGAAATAGGGAGAAGCAATGTACTCGTATCAGTACATACGGGCTCATAGAATCAAGATTAAACCATTTAATTATGCTTCCCTTTACTAAACTAACAAAGTTGATTATCATCTAACCACAGCATCATGTTACTAATTCTCGACGTTCGTGCTAATTATTTCCGTGCATCCTTACTGTGCTTGCAAATTCACACGCCACGTCATGCATGAGCACGCTAAGTAATAAAATGAACAATAATAGGGCATTGCCATTGCTATAGCTTTGCCTGAATTTAACGATCTTGGACGTTCAGTGACCCCTATGTTTCTTTCGATGGATCATTTTCTCTACCGATTTTCTACGTTTAGCGAAAAAATGAAGAAAATCTATCAACTAGAAGTTTGAATTTATTGCAACTTTGTTTTAGCTCTTCGTTTATCTGTGCGACGGTTTCAAATGCCTCTTGAAGGGTTAAGTTTTGTGAAAACGTTGGTAACATTTGGAATTATTTACGCAACAGACCCACTTCTAGAAAATACTGGTGACTAAGATCGTTTGCCTCCGTTGACTCACCTTCGATAATTTTAATTATAAACCCCTGTAGACCATGCTGAATTACGCGCGCCAATTTTTCAAAATTAGGGTAGTTTTCCACACGCTTTATCTCTGAAACGAAGTCGGTGATCCCCAATTTTGTTTTGCATTTCTGACACAAGTAACTCATTATCTAAACGCATTAAAAATTTAAAAAGAATCTATCGACTGGAAAATTTTCGTACGAGCGTCCTTAAAAAAGTTTTAAAAGCAGGCCTAGGAACAGTTAAAAGAAATTTTTATCTGTGGGTATTGCAAACTGCATGTAATGAGGGACAAACAGTGAAGATCAAAGAATTCAGCTCGTACCAGGGAGCAAGCTTCCAGACATCCTAGGAGACCTAGCAAACAATCGGAGCGAGTTGCATTACATTCTACAAACAGTTTTAAACCAACAGCTCTTTATTGCTTCCTAATTAAAATACCCTAGAGTAGATGTTTAGACAGCTTTTAAGAAAACCTTTTTCTAAACTGACTCCTTGTTAAACCACGCCTAAACGCAGTCTGCGTGAATACTGTGGCTAGTCCAAGATGTAATTATGGTACTTTTAGTAACAGTCTATCGTCTTTCTAAGGCATTTTAGTTAGGAAGCTAAAAGGTCCCCATTGCTGCATCCCAAAAGCAAGGTACATCAGGATTACACTACGCGACTGAAATGTTGCTTCTTTCTTCCTCAAAGCCATGATGATTCTGCAGAAACGAAACACAATCATACTGTTTTAACAAGACATTGCGATAAAGGAATCATTTTGTCTGCATACCAAACTCAAAGTTTTCTCGAGTAATCGCGGGGTGAAACTCACTTTATTCAAGGTGTTTTTTTCAGGTAGCGTGGCAGCTGTATCAGCTCCTAAGAAATTATTTCGTTTACTAATGAACAACTTGTACGCATGGTTGAGCGCCTGGGCCCAGCTTACCGCATATCATTTTAAAAGCCCCTTCACGTGTGCAAGCAAAATTACGGTCGCATGACTCAAGAGGTCCTTCAGTTGTTACCGTTCGTACCTAGATCTCCCACAACGACCTTAAACGTTCATATGACCTACAAAAGGATCTAAGTATGAGATTGTTGTGATAGACTTAACAGTAAAGACATGACCATCATCGCCAACATCTTCTGTAGCCTGCATGAGGTCGCGACAGTGTAAAGTACTCGTTGGAATCACAAAAGGCTTCATACGGAGCGTGTCCAGAATCTCGGCCATTAGTTTACACCATAATAATTATCCTTATAGTTTTCTCTGTTAAACCCTGTATCGTGAAACGATGGGTTAAGGCCAAGTCTACATTTGAGCCAAGTGCTAACCCATTTGGCCGATGCCTTTCTCCGGTTTTTTTGTAGCGTGAAGAGAACTTCTTTTTACCCCAGGATGGGACGGTAGTCCATCGCAGGGCTACTACACAGTATTTCTTTCCCTGATACCCATCTGGCACTGAGGAATGAAATACTACACCGGGATGGAGAGAGGCACTGACGCACAGTATGCCCGGTCGGGACTCCGACAAACTTTGACTACTCCAGCCGGTGGCCAGCGCACCATCATTTGGTATGCGCTTGTGCAGTGAAATCGTAGGTATACTAAATAAATTATGTATTGTTGTACGTATGTAATTTTTCTTATCCTACCTTCTTGCACAGTTGCATGTACTTGAACTACGTTGAAGTCAGTTTGGGTGCCTTTGTCCAGATTCGTCATAATGGCTTGTTCGGAGACCTTCGGCAAAGCACTCTCGGTTGTCACCGAAGACAGACCCGTTTCAGTAGAACCACACTTGTAAACACCGCTGTCCACGACAGACTCAACGGAAATGGCAAGATCTCCTGTGATTGGAGGGCGATTGTGAGTGGGTTGACGCATGCGTGGCCATGTTCCTACGCTGGAGATTCTTTGGATTGCTCGCGCGGGCACTGCTTCCTCCTGCTCTTCGATAGTCTCCAAGACTACGTGGTCTGTTCCCGCTGGGTCACCAGCTGTGAAAAAAGCCGGTGTATCTACTCCAGGAGGGGACCCCGGGATGACTACCTGAGAAGGGTCATCGCCAAGGACCCAGTCCAGTTTTAAAGTCGCCCTGTTGATTTCTCGTTTCGTTTTAGCTTGGGCCTGAGAGCCTTCCTCGCCATCAACACTGTCCCCGGAGATTGATTTAGACATATTTGGACCAGTTTGGCAAAACCTACAAGCTGTAGAAAGGAGCGTTAAAACCAGAATAACCTGAAGATAAATCAAGCAATCGTACTTCTTTTTCCGGTTTTTGTATCTAATCAGAGAAACGCGCGAGCACAATAGGTTAACAAAGATCGTGAGAAGACATGACAGATACTACAAGTCATTGTTTTGTGAACACAGATGTTCAATTTTTTCAAAAAGAAAACGTTAATTACGTTAACCTTATATTGTAGTCACGTGTTTTGCGTTCTTGCGTTCCCCGAGTGGCTAGCTATAGCAATGCTTCAGCGAAAACGTACAACGCCACGATAACTTCAATGTTATTGGACAATGTTAGACTATGGCGTCATTTAACCATAAAAGGTTTGGAAAACATATAGGGCTAACTAAACGCGCAAAATATCAGACCGTGTTACACAGTAATATGCCGAGTTGACAGCACTAGAACAGATTCCTAAAATACCCCCGCGTATTTTGTATCAAAATACGTCGATAAGGTGTATATATTTCATACAAGAAGACATGTCATTGCTAATGTCATACTGCGCATGTGTGATTGCAACCAGA